AAGAAACATGGCTGACGCTCGCAGACAAACCATCAAGGCCGTCTACGAGGATCCCCGCACAGGCTTCGGCAGCATAGCGCAGACGCTGCGGCAGGCTCAGGTGCGCGACCCCAGCATCTCCAGAGAGGAAGTGAAGGCGTTTCTGGACGGCCTCCGGGTGAACCAGGACCGACCGCAGAGAGGCTACAACAGCTTCGTGCCTCTGGAGCCCATGAACCAGCTGCAGGTGGACCTGGCAGACATGAAGGCTTTCGGGGGCAAGCCCTACCCCTTCATGTTGGTGGCCATCGATGCGCTGACCAAAAAAGTGGCCTCGGAGCCGCTGAAGGATCGTCTCGCGAGCACCACAGCGGGGGGCATGAAGAAGGTCTTCCAAGCCCTGGGCGTGCCGGCCAACGTGTACTCCGACGACGGCTCCGAGTTCAAGAGGGAGTTCAAGGAGCTGATGGATTTCTGGGACATCGAGAAGCAGGTGACCAGGGGCCAAGCCTACTTCGCGGAGCGCACCATCCGCACCATCAAGGAGGCCATGTTGCGTCGCATAGCAGCCGGAGCGGGCCGGCGGGGCCAGTGGCACCTCATGCTGCCTGACATCTTGAACCAAATCAACGGAAGGAAGCACGCTACCACGCAGGTGGCGCCGAACCTCGCCTACTCTGACCCCGAAATGGCTGAGATTGCTCTGCGCAACATCGAACGCAGGGCCAAACACAAGGTGACCCGCCCGGAAATCAAGGTCGGGGATATGGTTCGGATCAGGGTTAAGCCGATCGAAAGCAGGGGCTCCTACAGGGTCAACGAGATAGCCTGGAGCGAAAAGGTATACAGGGTTTTCTCCGCCGAGAGCGGGGAGATGGGGGCGAGGTTTGGCTTGGAGGGGTGGCCGGAAAAGGTGGTGCACAGGGATCTCCGAAAAGTCCCCGAAAACTCAGCTCCCGAACCGCGGGGGTTGGAGGTGCAATCCCGCCAGCGGGGGCTACAGAGAGGCCCCAGGCTCCCACCTCCTTTTTGACTGTGCCTCTACGTGTGCCTCTACGTCTCTACAACGTCTCCGACAGCTCCGCCTGCCACTCACTGATGAGCTCCTCAGCGTCGGGTTGGGGGCCCTCGTCGTCGTCATCGCCCCACCGCGCGCGCCATGTGATGCCAGCCTCAAACCAGCGCAGGGCAAGCTCTGCCCGCTGCGAGCGCGTGGCCGGGGTGCGAAGAGCCGTGAAGATTTGACCCGCCTCTTCCGCGATTACCGCTGGGCTTGGTGTCTTCGAGCATTCTCGCGAGGCGTCGGGCATCCAAGTCCGCGGCGCGCAGCTGCTCCTTGAGGAGCTCGATGCGGCGGCGCTGGTGCGAGCGCTCGGCCTCAAGCAGCGCATCCTCGCGAGGCCGCTGGTTGGGAGGCCGCTGGGCCATCAGAGCAGCCGCAAGGCAGGGTGCGTCCTCGTCCGCCCACGCGGCAGGCTTTTCCAGAAGCCATGCCTGCACGCATCGGAAGGCCTTGGAGGAAGTCATCTTGAGCAGCTGCAGCGGGTTTTTTTTGAGACCATTCAAGCATTTGGGACCATTCGAGCATTTGGCGGGCTTCTTTTTTCTTTGCGCGAGTCCAAGCTCGTCAGTGCGTCCGCCTACGAAGATTTCTGTTCTCTTCCTCGAGGATCTCGACGCGGCGCTCCAGCACCTCACGGCGCAAAGTCTCACGGTTGGCCTCATCCTCAAGCTGAGCAGCATACTCTTGCGCCATCAGCAGCAACGCTAGATTTCGCTCGCTGCGTTCGCAGAGCCGCTCCAGCGCCCCGAGGAGAGCCCCATGGTGCGCAGCTTCGGTGAGGAGATCCTCTTCAAGGTACTCGAAGCGGTGCCGGTAGTACATGCGCTCGGCCTGGAGCAGCGCATCCTCGCGAGCCCGCGCGGGCCGCTGGACCATCAGAGCGGCCGCAAGGCTGGCAACGTCCTCCTCCGCCCACACGGCGGGCTTCTCCAGAAGCCATGCCTGCACGCACCGGAAGGCCGCTGAGGAAGTCATGATAGCTTTAAGTGGCTGCGCGGGTTTTTTGAGTCCATTCAAGCATTTGGGACCTTCGGCGGGCTTTTTTTTCTTTAGCGCGTTCCCCTTGCCCTGTCCAAATCCTCCTCAAGCTCATCAACGCGCTCACTCGAGGATCTCGTCGAGGCGCTCCACCCGCTGACGGATGTTGCTGCGCTCCAGCTCTTCAACGCGCTCCCTGGCTCGCTTGCGATCTCTGTCGATGATATCGTTGTGGCCGCCCACCCGCCGGCGGAGATCACTGTTCTCGCGCTCCCGCTCCTCACGGCGCAGAGTTTCATCGAGGAGCAGCTCCTCAACACTCACCTCCGCCCGCGCCGCTCGCTTGCGTGTTTGCTTGAGGAACTCGTTGCAGCGGTCCAGCTGCCAGCGGAGAATTTTGTTGTCGAGCTCCCGATCCTCGCGGCGCTGAGTTTCATCGAGGAGCTCCTCATCGAGCTGCGCGATGAGATGCCGCTGGTGCGTGCGCTCGGCCTCAAGCAGCGCGTCCTCGCGAGGCCGCTCGTAGGGAGGCCGCTGGGCCATCAGAGCAGCCGCAAGGCAGGGAGCGTCCTCGTCCGCCCACGCGGCAGGCTTCTCCAGGAGCCATGCCTGCACGCATCGGAAGGCCGCTGAGGAAGTCATCTCTTTGAGCAGCTGCGGCGGTTCGAAATCCGCATTGTCGCGAAAGCGAGAAAACGAGAGCTCGGAATCTTTCTTTTTTCAGGTTCCGACAGTCTACGCCCAGCATCGGCTCAGCCGCAGCGGCAATGTCGGAGCGGGCCCCAGAGGCGGGGGCCCCACGAGGAACTCCATCACGAGGTCGAAGGGTGCAGAGCCTGGCGGAGCGTAAGCGCCCAGCATCCGCAGCTGCTCCAGGTTGCGCCAGTGCCCCAGCGGCCGCGAGTTGTGAGCGTCGAGGCCGTAGACCTTGTCGTTGAAGGGCGAGAGGGACTTCTTCTCGACGGTCTCCACGGCGATCTCGTGCGCGCGGCTGCGCTGCTGCGCGAAGGTCGCCCTGCGCTCGCTGCCTTCCTCCAGCACCTCCCTGTACTCGAGATGCCGGACGTTGGTCACCGCCTTCTTGGGCACGCCCTTGATCTTGCGCTTCTCCTTGCGCGCGCCGTCGGGCTGGACCGTGAGGATTCTTGGAGCGCAGGCCGACATACTCCAGGATCCTGGCGGGGAAGGTCTCGTCGCCGAGCTTGCCCAGCAGCCCCATCACCTCGATGGCCTTGGCGCGCGCCGCAGCAGAGAGTGCGCTCAGGTCCCTCTCGGGGTCCTTGGACTTGCCGGCCACGTCGAAGAGGGCGGCGCCGTTCAGGTTCGCCTCGGCCATGGCGTGGAGCGGGTCCTGCAGCTCGAAGATCACCATCACGGAGTCGGTGTCCGTGAAGAGCAGCCTCATCTTCGGGAAGAGCCTCCTCATGTGGAGGTAGTAGGCCTTCTCCATTATGAGCTTGGAGAGCTGCAGCGTGCGGGCGCCGACTTGGGTGGGCACGCTCACGCAGGCCTTGCTGCGGTTCGTCTTGAGCGTCTCCACGAAGGCCAGGAACCCCTCCGAGTCGTTGATCTGAAACTCGAAGTTCGTCACGGAGCTCTTGCCCACAGCCCGCTCGAACTTGTCCGGGTCCACGTAGGCGTTCGTGTTCCTGAACTTGTCGGGGTTCATGCAGCAGCGACCGAAGATGGCGTTCTGGGTGAGCTTCACCACCTTCTCGGCGACCACGCTCCCCGCCGTCTTGAGCTGCCTCCGCTCGCTGTGCGTGAGCTCCATGAAACCCGCCATGAAGGGGCTGCAGGCGAAGCGGTAGGCTCTGTGCAGCCTCCAGATCCTGGCACCCAGCACGTCCCGCAGGAACTTGAGCCGCTTGCCGTCCACGCCCTCTTCTACGTGCATGCCGAGGAAGGGCACGAGCTTCTCGCAGGGCGACGGGGAGAGGCCGAGGCACTCCGCCATGTTCGCAGTGCGCGGCCCGTACAGGCCCTTCCCGACCTTCATGCGCGCGGGCGGAGCCCAGTCCAAGTGGTCGTGCACCTCCGGGGGAAAGTCGTAGTCCACGAGGAGCAGATAGCTCACCTCCTCGGAGTCGGACTCCCAGTTCAGCCCGGAGAGGCACGTATCGTGCAGCCAGCTCAGCCTTGCGGCGTTTTCTTCTGGCAGGGCGACCGTCTCGCAGGGGCCGTTGGGCATGGGTAGCGACATTGCTGCTGGGTACATGGCGTTGAAGTCCAAGTACGAGATCCAGCTGACGGGCTCCTCGGAGTTGTACTTGGATGACCGGCTTGGTTGCTATCTACTTGTAGCAACTTAAAGCAACTTACTACTTGACTTGGCAGACTTACGAGGCGAACTTAGCAACTAGTTACGGGCCGACTTACTATGTGAACTTAAGAATAGGCGCTAAGTAGGCCGCGGAGCACTTAGTAAGTGGTTTGGCTTAGTTACCTAAGCAAGCTATGTTTGCCGGGCCTACTTAGTAACTAGGATAGAGTGGTTGCGTAAGTCTGCCAAGTCCACGTGGCATACTTAGCAAGTAGGCCGCTAAGTAGGATAAGCGTCGTTGGTAAACTTAGGTATGTACAAAGATAGCTAAGCTACACACATAGCACGTCTCACGTTTCGCAGCGCATATTACTTGGCGGTAGCTGCACATGCGCGCTTTCAATCTGCTGCTGCCGTGGCTTTTGCTTTGGACAAAACAGGTGTAAACGCATGCATGTGTGTTCCAAACTGAATTGTCACATGTGCATCAAGTTGTTTATGCGCGAGTGTCAAACGGGTGTTTCAAAAAATGACCATCCAAATTGGGTTCGGGAGTCGGTTCATGCAAATCGTTTGCTTTGCTGCGGCAAGCTTACAAACACCTATGTGAAAAAACGGCGGCTCATCCAAAATCAAGAAAACAACGCGCTTGTTTTCTCCGGCACGTCTTGCAACACTTCTCTGCGGGCCACATCACCAAGTAGTGGATGGAACCACTGACGGCGTGGAGGTGGCGCCATCCCGGTGAATACAGACATCCATTATCTGAGACAGGTCTGCCACAAGACTCTCGGCGCTCTTCTGGAACTTGTTGCTGCCCAAGGCGTTCCACTGCGTAACGCAGCAAAAGTTCTTGCCCATGGCAGTTGCAAAGAAATTCACTTCGCCCAAACACTGATCACCCGCATCGCCAACCAGCCTGACAACATCGCCAGCTGAAGCCTTTGAGCCAGGACTGAAAAACGCAGTTCGACTCACGCGAATTTCTCTGTCGAACCCAAGCTTGTGAAATTCCTGGCTGATTGCAGGCCCTGCTGCAGCTGGGCTACACAAGCCTCCATAGTATGGCTCACCAGGCGTGCCCGAAAGAGAATCCAGACTGTCACCCACTGCATCCACCCTAAAAGAGATTAGATGTGGGATGGTGTGCTGTGATGGTTATCGATGGCAGTGTTTATTGATGTGTTTTAGAGTTATCATGAGTCTGGTATTTGATGTATCGAAGAGTTTTTATATTTTACTTTATTGTGGTGGATGAAATGGGGGGGTTTGTCATGCTAATGCCCGGATTCTTTCAAACTTGGACCATGTGTTCGTAATGAGATTGGCGTGGCGTTTGATTTCCTTGTGCTTGCGCTCGTGCACCCAGCACGAGACTAAAGTCTTGTGCTGGGTGCACTGAGCTGGCAGGTGCAGCGCGTAGTGGTGTTTCGGCAGGAAACGCTCATATAGAGCTACATACCCTTGCAAGTGCCTCTCAATTGCCAGTCGAAGAGCCTCAGGGTCCCAGCCATCTTTTTTTTGCCGGACAAGTAAATCCAAGACTCTGCAGAGCCTGAAGTAACTGGCACACTCTGCTTTCAAGGCTTCAAGCTCGCCGTGCTTCCGCAACTCCCACAGGATGAACCTGACGACAGAGTAAACGCTCAAACATTCACTTGCTGAGCATTTGATGTCGCCATCCTGATCTTCTTTTGCGAATATGTTCACACCAGTCACACCTCGACCGGACAAGTAAGATGGCCAGGTGAATCTGTTGAGTTCGTCACGCAGCCTTTCCTGACCGACTCCATGCGCAGACAGCTTGCCGACCAAAGCGCCAAGCTCAACATTCCACAGACCTCCAACTGCATAGGTATGCATCCAGTCGTACATCAAAAAACTGACGGGTTTGAGTGTCAAGATATCTGAATGCAGTAGGCCATGACAGTTGTGATTAAATCCCAACGCCTGCTCCATCTTTTTGAACGCAGTTTTACTCATACCGTCATTGCTGTGACTTGCCAAATATTTCACAGTCTCCAACAGAGTCTCATCCGAGTGAAGGTCCACACCAACTAGTGTGGTAGAGTTGCTGGGAACAAAATCCGTCGAGTGGCGGTCCAGCTTGCTCTTCCAGTCGACAAGATTGCGGCATAGTGGACACAAAACAGTGCCACTCGCACCCTTCATGTCTAGACTTTCTTTGAGCGCAACCTCATCTCCAATCACAATCGACAGGTCACAGAACAGCATCCTGCGCTCTCCATTGGGAAACACCAGCTGCACTCCATGTCGAAGATCCACTGGAGAAAAAAAGCGTTCCACTGCCTCTCTGAAATACTGCGACATCTTTCCTGCCATCCTTTTAACATGATCAGTTCTTGCAACTCCAAGCAGAAACCAGTTCTTTTCCAAAGACAACGCCAAGTCACCAAATTCTTTGATCGACCAATATACGCATTCAACTTTGCGGGTCTGGTTGTGCGCAAGGACGTTGCCAGGCGATATGCCATCACTGTAGCAAATCAAGCTGAGTGGGGACGACTGGCTCGGCGTATACAGATCCAGCACCTTCAACATCATGTTTGAAAACTCTGGACTCAAGACACATGTGGCAAAGCAAAGGTATTGGCTGCACAAAAGGAAACTCCACAGTCTTCATCTCCTTGGGCTTGGTCACCGAGCCAGACTTTTTCTTCGTCTTCCCCACCGGCAGCAGCGTGACCTTCCAGTCTTGTAGGAGTTTGCCGTACCGGGTCTGCACATCAACGTCTGCATCCCGCCGTCTCTTGATCGTCTGTCTTGATGTTGCATCTGGAAAATCCTTCTTCTTCAGCTCATCCAGAACAGTACTCAGGCCAGATCGAGAGATGCCCTTACGCCTGCCAAGGTGGCCAACATTGGCGGACATGGAAGAAAACCCAGCGAGCGAAGCGCCCGGCTAGGAGGTGAAGCAGTTTGCATCAAAGTGAGCTGTCGAGATGTACATGTATGTATCTATCTTTGCATACGCGTAACTATTGATTGATCTTCGTGTGTCTATTTGGCATTTAACATTGGAAACCGTGCGCAATTATGTTCTATCCTGTTCTCAAATCGGTGGTTGCAATGAAATCCGCGGCCTCGCCTTTGATCCCAAGCACAGACCCAACAGTTCAACCGGTTCACTGGCGCCATCACTCTGTCTCAAACAAGCAACGGGAAATGCATGGTAACGTTTTGAGGTCAAGATGCGTTGTCGCAAGAAAACCGGCTAAGGCTGTATACCTGTGTCTGTCTTCACACATCTACGTTGCACCGTTTCAAATCTGAAATCAAAAGCGCTCACGGTGTGACTACGGCAGTGGCGGAAACTCGAACAATGCCTTGTCTTGCCATGATACACTGCGCTCACAAATCTCATAAGCCCCGGGCAGCCATGCCTTCCTCGATGATTTCAAGGGCACGGTGAAACGATTTTACATGGTCATCGCCCAGTTTCACTTTTCGATCAATTCTGTCCGCCTTGTCGACAAAGGCCCGCCAACACGCGGACTTTGGGTTCTTGTGGATCTTGCCGGTCCCCCAAAAGAACGTCTCTGTCCAAGGGTCTGGCGGAGCAGGCTTAGGGCCCAAATCCTTTCGCGCCACAGCACCTTCCGCAGCACCTTCCTGAGGCGCAGCTGCCGCTTTCTTGGGACCAGGAGCTTTCTTCGCTTTTTCCTTCGCCGCAGGTTTCTTGAAGGTTGCTTCCTTCTTCTCCGCAACTTTCTCTTCTGACCTTCTCTTCTTTGCCTTGGGCTGCTTTTCTTCCGGCTCCGAAGCCTCCGCTCCATCCTCTGGCTCATCCACATCTTGCTTTGCCTCTGCGCGAGCTCTTTCACGGCTCTGGACGCCAGTCTTGAAGACCTTCACATACTCCTCTGGTGTCTTTGCCTTTTTCTTGGCGGAAGCCGACGCTGCTGAAGCTTCCTCGTCTATAGGGACCTCAAAGGCTGGTTTCTGGTTCGGTGGCTTCATTTCGGCTGCGCTTGACTGCGTCTTTCGACTTTCTTGGCTATCATCTTCCAACGCACCCTCCAGCAAAGCTTTCTGCTCTGGCGATGTTCGATCGGCTTCTGCGGCATTTGGCAATGCCTTTGTCTTCCTCTTGTTACCAAAGATTTGCAAATTGGCCGCGCCATGCGCATCACCTTTGTCTGCACCCATAAACTGCTGAATGCCGGCCATCATCAGCATCATAGGGTTCACTCCGCCCATGTTAGACTTCATCATGTGATCCATCTGCTGCATCATGCTGCTCATGGGGTTGTCATTCAGACTCACCTTCTTCACCAAACTGTGCGATTTTCTTGCAACCACTTTCGAAGACTCTGCACCAGCACTGTTCTGGGGCGGCGACGGCAGCTCCTCTTCAAACACTGCGTCATATATATCTTTTGGCAGCTTCCCAGGGTTGTCAGGAAACATCACTAGCAAAGACTTCTTCTCCATGTGCTTGATTTTGCTCTTCAACTGCTGCTTGAACTCGTTCACAATCCTCAAGGTGTCTGCTCCTTCTCCCACTTTCATGCCGCCTGGAGCACAGACACTGTTTCCAAGAAAAATCACCCAATGCACACTGGCAAATCAACAACGAAATTGAAAGGGGAAGAGTCACGGCGCCACAAACACTTTATGCAACTTGCAACGCATCCAAGGCGCAGTCGATCGCGGTCTTGATGATCTGCTTGGTGGTGGTCTCTCTGGGCAAGTGAAGGCCCAACTTCACACACTTGGCAACCAACCTCTGGACCTTGTTGACGTTGTGAATATCTGGATCCGACAAAATCTGGCAATCGCTTTCTGTCAAGTAGGCAGCAAAGCATGTCAATGTCTGAAGAGGTCGTCTTGCCCTGGCTTGGTTTCCAGCTGCGGCCCCATCCATTTTGGACGCCAAAGCCTCTGACAGGACTTCGTGGTGCTGGTCAAGCCATGGCCCCTCACCCAGCAACTCTCCCACACGCGCAGCTTCCTCCGGTTTGATGTTCATCTCGTTGATTCTTGTGACCCAAGCTTTCACCTGGTTGTCAAGCATCTTTGTGAACTGCTCTTGTTTCACAGCGCGCTTCTGCGTCCCCAAGAAGCTCTGGATGTTCTCAAGGTCCTGGATGAGCAACTTGCCCGGTGTGGCATTGGATCCGCTGGCAGCCATTGGGAGCTTGCGCGCTTCTGACGACAAAACGAGATGAGTACAGAGCGCGTGTTTAGTCTGACCTTTAGTGATGTTTGACATATCTATAGCAAACACTGCTTTTCACGCAACTGCAACGCTTTCCCGATCTGCACCTGGTGTCATGCACAGAAAATAATGCGAAAGACTGAGCACGGCTGCGGTCATTGATACAACGAATGCATGCGTGCAAACATGCACAGCATGCGGAGTATGTTTGCCCGACGCGCCCAACTCTCAAGACCAAGTAAGAGTGCATCGCAATGAGTGTGAGATGCAAGTACTCTTGCAAGCACTCTTTTACCAATGGGACATCCCAATCCATGGGGCAGTTGATGCAGCATCGAAACAGGACCGGAAGCAGGCGCCCGCCAGAAAGAGCTGATTGGAGCTGCCTGCCCGTTGGTGGTTGAAGTCCGAAGTGTGTCAAGGGCAACACGCCTGGATCAAGTCATACCATCACCTGCCAATCAGCAGCACAAGCAAACAACAGAATCAAGCATTGTGGTGCCAAACCAACCTCGAAGCCAACCCTGATCTCAAACACCATTGGCATCCCCATGCGCTGGACCTTGGCTCACGCTGCAGGCCAAGTTGAAAATGGCAGACATGCAAAACCACCCAGAAGCCAACCCTGATCTCAGACATCATTGGCATCCCCTGCGCTGGCCTGGGCTCGCACTGCATGCCAAGTCAAAAATGGCAGACATGCGATCTAAGAAATTACTATCACAGTTGAAGTCCTGAAGACACCAAAGGTGAATCTAATGGAGGGGAAACAAACATGGCAATCCGACGCGATGCAACAACATCTGGAAAACAACGCAAATGCCAAGCATCATGTCACTAATACGGTTGATTGATTGAAACCGCCGGTATGATTGAAACCGTCACAAACCGTCAAGCTCAAATCGTGAAGAGGTGGGCCAAGCCTTGTGGGCGAAGAAGATGGAGAAGTGCGGAGGCCTGGTCACACGACACGGGTCACAACAAGATGACGAAATGAAGTGAGAATGACGGCAATATGATGACAACACGATGACAACATGCCCGTGCTCCCACTGTCACTGCCCACGCTTTCTCGACACCCGTGCTACGGTGCACGATGGAGGACAAAGTTTTTGCCACTATTGGGCGAATTCGACTTAGGATTGCATCTGTTGCTACTGATACGAGTATGTCCACAACTAAATGGAGTACCCATGAGCATTCAGAGTCATATGTTTTAGATCTATTGGAAAACAATCTAAAAGCTAAAAGCATACCCCTGCAACGATGCAATCCCAAGCAACCACGGGCGTGTTCCTGGCCACCCATGAATACTGTTCAGGCACCTTTCATTGTAAACCAAATCCACTACATATCTATGGAGACGTGATGCATTCAAACCAAACAGAACCGACAAACCAGGCCACACGCAAACACGCCCATGGATTTAGCTAATACTCAAGACTTGCTAGGCATTGCAAAACACAAGACAACAACCTTTGATTGTGAATCAGTCAGTGGTCAACGGTGGTTTCTGTAAACATTGGAGCGCCCTATATTAGTGGAACAAACTGGAACATCAAGATTAGTTGGAAATTGAAAGAATGGTTCCTCGCCCAGCAACTCATCTGCAATGCCCAGGATTCGCAGGCGCGTCGCTCGCAACCAAAGCGCCTCGTTTCTCAGGGTGTGCCTTGCCCCGTTTTTGGTGCTGTCTGGTGTTTGTTGTGTTTTTTTGGGCTTTACATGTTTGCCCTTTGCCACGCGATCCCATTTTGCACCTTGACCGTTGCGTGTTGTCGCATTTTCACCGTTTGGTTGCGCTCTTCAAAACTGCCGCCATGTCCTGGACAGCCGAGATGGTCTGCCGCCTCTCATCTGGGCTCATGCGGGCTGAGCTGGATGTGGCCTTGCGGGGCGACATATTGAAAAGCAGTTACAATGACGAGTTTGGTACGCGCATGCAAACATGTTAAAAGCTTCAACACCCAGCCTCCTCGTGGATTTCGTGGAGATGCTTGAACTGCTCCTCAGGAAATCACCAGTCGAAGATCACTTTCTAGTCACAATCAGACCTTCTTGCACACTTCACGCAACTGAAAATGAATCACTGTTTCCACTGCACGCAGTCGAAAGTCCTTGGCTCGGATCTGGGCTCCACCGCGGGTTCGAGCTCTCGTGCGTGTCGACCCCTCGGAGCGGTACTGCTCGATCTCCCACTCTTTCAGCAGCTTTCCGTCGACGCGGACGGTGCCGTCCGAAAGCCACACCTCCTGAACATGAATGGACTCTCAACGCATCTGAAAAAATGACGCGCGCGACTTGAGCAAACTCTGACGCTGACAAGTTGCCTTCTTCTCGTTGTGCCACTCCACGTGGCTGACCGATGTCTCCGATGTCACCTGTTGCAAACATTGAACCGTAACAACAACCTGCAAACTCAATCCTCATGACAAGAAACTTCAACAAACAATTGCAAACGCGACCAACATAAGTAACGCATGTCCATGCAGCCCTCCTCCGGCGGCGGCGGCGGAGGAGGCAGCTGCCGCTCCCTCTGTCGCTCCATCTGTCGGGGATTGACTTCATGTTCATCAGCAAACGCCAACAGGCTGAAATATGAAACTGCACTTGGATTCACTTGTGTACATACATATATATATATATATGATGATGATGAACGCATTGTAGCAACGCAGAAGC